CTGCTCTGCAGCCGTCTCCTATTGGAAAAAAGCCCACGTAAACTTTGGCGAACTCCCGCCCGAATACGAGGATAAAAATGACGTATATGCCGATAGCCAGAACATGTCACTTGTGGCCCTGTACAACCCGAAGGAGGGCGCCACACTTGACTGCGCCTACATCACTTGCCCTATCTCGACTGCGACCACCACATCCGCCCCCACCACTACCAGTGCTACTACAAGCAGCTCCTCCTCGAACGATGCAGGCGGATCTGGCGGAGGTACCGGAGGTAGCGCAGGTAGCGGAGGTGGCGGAGGTACTGGAGGTAACGGAGGTAGCGGAGCTGGCGGAGATAGCGGAAGTAGCGGAAGTAGCGGAGATAACGGAGGTAGTTTTTTCAGTGCCGAGCGAAGAGCTGGGGTTTCAGCGAGCAGAGGTTTCGAGGGTCGGGCGTCAGCAGCCGCTCCCATATTCTACCCTGTTTCCCGTGAAGGAGACTCTGGAGACCCTCAGAGGACTGGACCATCCGTTCGGCGCCTCTCCACTACCTCAGAAACGGTTACCGGCCTCGTTTGCCTCACCAACCCTGCGGCTCTTGTAGATGGACAAAAACCCTTCACGTACGTTGTTGAAAATATACTGCCTTGGCTTCCTATTGGCTGTATCGCCTCCTCTAGTGGTGTTTGTCTTCATTGTTTCATCTGCTCTGTGCACTCCCTTCGTCTGCTTCAGTCACGTCCGAGCTGTATTGAGCGTGTTTTCTTTTGTTTTGTGGCCTTCCATGTATTAGTCAGCAACTGTGGTTCCATCTGCGTGTTGTTGTGTTCCTCCTGTCGGCGCATTTTCATTCGTTGTCCGCCTGCGCCCCTTGTGTCTTCAAGGTGCTGCTTAGTGCCGTCTAATTCACGTTCTTTTTTGCTTGTTGTGTGCGTCGCTATCCCGCCCCTGCCGTTTTAGCATTGATCATTTGTCTTTCCTTTGCCATGCATGAACATGCTTCTTTCTCGGCAATGTTAGGCCGGTTTCTTTGTTCTACATGTCTTCATAACGCTCTTTATTAGTTGCAGAGGGCTTCAGAGTTTGGCTTTGTCCGATGTTCATGCCGAAGCGTGAGATGGTTTTGCTTTTGTAACGCGCTTTTGACGTCTCTGGGATGTGGTGCCTTCTTCGCAGTGAGGATGTTTGGGCGAACATAAAGAAAGCCATAGAAAACTCCGCCTCCACCTCTAG